CACTCAAACTAAGTGGCTAACCCTTAACTTAACGTAAACCTGATTCCAACCCTAGAACCAGGTCTTAACCCCCAAACAGTCCACCGCAGGTCAGAAAGACAAAATGTCCTCACTCTGTAGGTTGTAGGCCAGACTGGTCCTCACAAAGATAGCTGTACAAGAGCACACACACACACACTCCTCAAAGATGATAAAACTCATCAAGTTAAAAAGAATCTGCAGCGTTGAAACAGTCGATGTTCATTTATAATAATTCATGAAACAAATCATCATTGTCATTCATCACTTGACCTTTAAACATCACTGTGTCACTGTCCCTGATGAACAGCGCCCCCTGCAGCCACACAGGATGAACTCTGTGGGTCTCTGTGTCTGACGAAGTGTTTTCATGTAAAAACAAAGTGAATCAATGTGTTGAGCTGGATATTACCCATGATCCTCTGCTTCCTGACCCAGAAGAGCTGCTGCTGTAACAAACTGTTCAGATTCTTCATGTTTTAAAGTTTCTGCTGAACATTGGAGATTAACTCTGGTTGTTAAGAACTGATCTCAGATCAGCTTCACTCTTCACCTGGAGCTGATGGAGACTCTGTCACTTCTTCTCACAGGAGATGAACCCACTCAGCAGAGTGACAGAGAACAGACGCTCAGGGAGAAAAGTTGAAACCTGAATCTGATGTTATGTTGTTCTGGTTAATTCCCAGATGATCGGTGTTCCCTGCCTCTGGTGACGACTTCTCTATAAACGTGACTCCAGCTCCCGAGTTCAGCAGAAGTTTGTTGTCTCAGTGTTTGATAACTTCACAGAAAGTGAAGGTGACGTTCATCTGTTTAAATCGTCTTTCATTTCTAATGTTTTTCAGGATTTATCTGCAGTTAAATCTCTGTTTATTCAAACCTGCATCACATGCTGACGTGTGAAAACTCATCTGTGACCTGTTGTTTGCAGGTTGATGGAAAACTTCACGTTGAACAGCGTCACCCTGCAGCTGGAGGGGGTAAAGGTCACACAGGTGTCCGTCTACCCCGTCTTCTTCTTCTTCTTTCTCTCCTACATCCTCATCATCTTAGCAAACATCTGCATCGTGGTCCTAGTTTTCACAGACAAAAACCTTCACCAGCCCATGTACCTCCTTTTCTGTAACCTGCCATTTAATGACATACTTGGAAACTCTATCATGGTCCCGCGTTTGCTCATAGACATCCTGCGTCCTCCCTCTGAACGTCTCATCAGTTATTACGAGTGTGTGGTCCAAGCTTTCACCACACACATGTTCGGCACCACCTCCCACACGGTGCTGATGATCATGGCCTTTGACAGATATGTGGCCAT